GAAAAATATCATATCTTCCCCCGTTTGGAGTTGCCAGCTAAAATATTTTTGGGAGTGATCACTTTAATGGGGGAAAAAGAGGGGAAAAAAGTCAACTTCCTGTTTGCAGGCATGCTAACAACAACCACTGCACAACTTGCTGCTACTTTTAAATTTGCAATGAAAAGAACTGAGAGTCCAAATGATAAGAAGACGTTTCCACTGACATCTCCGTCATCCAGATCGCACAAATAAAAATAAAGTTATCAAGTGTTTGCTGAGGGAATTAACTTTTATCTGATTAAAAATCCAAATTATGATTTGAAAACTTATCAAATGAGAAACCAGGACATCATGGTGTAAAATAAGGCATTTAACTGAGCAGCAAGTTCAAATGAGGTAGAAATAAAATGAGTTAAAATCAAATCGGATTCAAACAAGTGAAATTAACTTCATTAAATTAATTCTGATTTCTGTTACTAGAGTTCATGGTTTCAGCATTTTGCAGTTTGAGTCTCACACCAGTCGTCAACTGGAAGGAGATGAAGATCTGTGGCACAGACTAACAGTTGTCTTAATTAGTTAGCATTAGCTTCTGCTAGTTTTTTTATGTGCTTAGTAATTTAGCATTTGCAGAGCTAAGAGTCATACTTAGCCAATATGTGGTTACTGAAACTGTTTGGTTAGCAGTGTCCACCATTAGCAGTAAATTCAGCTGATTTTATTGCCATTGCAACCATGGCGACCATTTTCAAACATAAAAAGATTATTGTCTGATCTTCATCTTTAGAAATGGCCGCCATCTTGATCTTTTCAGTGGCTAACAGGGTTTGTTGTTGCTGTTTTTAACAAAGCAAACCCCTGGGGACAATAACTGGTATTTCCATTGTATTCCAGTCTGTCCTAACTGGAAAAACGTGGAATTTTGCAAAGGAAAACGGAGCAATATTGCCACAACACTGATTTATAACCATAAACTTTTATGACAAACAGTGGTTAGCCAGAGAATTATCACTGTAAGAAACTACAAAATGGATCAGGCAGTTGTTTCTGGATGGCTCACAAAAAACAATCATCATCATCATCATGATCATCATCATGATCATCATCATCATCCAGTAGCATTAGCCCATCTCACAATGTTTTTCTGAAATGAGTGATTGTGGAGACAGACAGAGGGAGAGGTCCTTCTCCGTGTGTCAGGGAAAAGGCACGCTTTGGTCTGGCATTCAGGATCCTGAAAGCATGATTTGTAGCCGTAATTGAATGTTTTGCTAACGTGGTTTTGCTGCTTTAATTTAGATCAATCATCTTAAATACTTGCTCAACCACTGATTTCCATCATGCTTACTCTCTGTATGTAATAGTTTTGCTTTCAGGTTCTTTTTCCTGCGCTTCAAGGCGTCGAACAGATAAATCAGACTTGACAACAGCTTCCACATGGATTTAAAAATAAAAAAGGAGGGAATAGTAAAACAAAACCTGGATTTTGACAGTATAATTAACTCACAAATTTGCTTTTCCCCTTTAAAACCGGACTCAGTTAAGTTGGATGTTTGCCACTGTGGTCCAGTGAAACAAAAGAGGGTGATATCTGCTTCTTTTTTCTGTAACGACACCTGAAGAACAGATGTTTCATCACCTCGTGTGGTCCTCGTTTTCTCCGCACCTACGCGTAGATCTGGAGCTTTCTCCTCAGCCTGGCCACCCAGGAGAGCAGGATATGAACTAATACTTTACAGTAAGGAACTCCACTCCCTAGAGATAAAAACCGAGGCGCCCGGTGATGAGTCTGGAAGGTACCCAAAGGTCTACCAACAGTCAGAGCTAACCCACAGGAAAGTCCACCAGCAAAAGCAACAGGAAAAGGAAACTCTCCCCCCACAACATCCTGGATGTATTTGTGCTCCACAGCCAGAATTGGCATGCTTCGTTTAGGACACAAAAACAGCTGCGTTCCAGTTCCTCTAAGTGTGAAATTATTTGACAGTTGGGAAAGTAACGGCTTCAAAAACACAAAATCTTACCAAGTATTTTTATCTGGTCTCTAGTGCAAATGTTTTAACTTGAAATCAGATTAAACTGACTTGCAAGAAACTTTTTAGCAAAATATAGGAGCTAATTTATTTATTAAAACACTTACAACATGAGAAAAATGCCTTGGCATAAGTAAAATAATCTACCTGTGAATCATTAATTAAAACAAGCTCCAATATCTTGCTGATAGGTTGGGATTACTTATTTTCATAAACATTGACTTTTTAAAAATCAACATGAAGGAATTATTGACTTATTATATTGTCTTTTCATCAATGCAGATAAAACAAAAACTTTTTCATCAATATTAAGGAATTATTCACTTAAAACAAGCTCCTATAGCTTACTGAAATTTTTATTTAAGAGTTTGTTTTGTCTTGTTTCAAGTGTAATAAAATATTTGTGATAGAAACTAGACCAGAAATATTTGGTAAGATTTTGTGTTTTAAACATGCAGTTGAAGAATTGTCTTTCAAAACATAAAATTTTTACTGTAGATTTTGTTCCTGTAAAATGTTTGATTCTGAGATTTTAGCTTTTCTTACTTAAAAACTTTGAGACTTTCATTCTACAAATTACTTCGGTATAAAGCAAAAACTAAAAATTTTACTGGGTATTTTTAGTCTAGTTTTAAGTGCAAATATCTTAACACACTTCAGATTAGGGATGGACAAAATGGCTGAAAAATGGATTACAATACAAGCATTTCATATCAGTTGATATCGATAAATATTTATTCATTTTTTTGTTTTAAATACCTGAAATACCGCTAAGCCTTTCATGTTTTATCCAGTTTTCACTCTACGCCGTTGTTTTTTACTTTTAAGCAGTTAAGAGGCACAGTGGGGAAACATTAAACTGCTTCTGCGTCAGTTACTCAACAGGCTGTTGCTAGGTAACCAAAGAGTGAGCAAGTTGCTAGGTAACCAAAGAGTGAGCGTGTCAGTTGGTGCCACCAACCTAGCTTAGCTAGCCATGAGAGGCTGAGCTGTTAAAGTACATCTCCCCGTCTGGATCGGAGTTCAGTGAATATTCTATAATATTCTATATGTATTATCTATTGATAATGATCACATTGTCTATCGCTATAGATATTGTGATTGATTTATTGCCCCGTCTTACTTGAAAGTTTCCAGCAAAATATAAGAGCTTGCTTTAAGTCAGCAATTCCTTAATATTGATGGAAAAGAACTAGTTTTACCGGCAGATTGGTTTTCCACTTATAAAAAGACATTTTCCCCATGTTGTAAGTGAAATAATCTTCCATATTTTCATCATTATTAAGGAATTACTGACTTAAAACAAGATCTGTATCTTGCTGAAAACCTACTTATAAGTTAATACACTTGAAAAATGACAAAACTAAGACATTTTCACTGGAAACTAGACAAGAATAATTAGTAAAATGTCGTGTTTTTGTCATGTAAAGCTTGTTTCGAACCCTAGTCTAGCCTGTTGATGTCTCACCGCATCATATTTGAGCTTCTCACACCATTTCAGACGATTTTTCCTGCTATCGTTCTCTCTAAAAACTGTCTGCAGGGTCGTATCTTTCTTTCATGTCCTACAGTCATGAAATGGTCAGAGTGTGTCGAACCAGACAGCCTGAGTCACTCATGATGCTGTGTTTGCTTTTTGTGGGAAATCTTGACCATGTGTTGTTCATTGCTCATAAACAGGAGAAACAGAGGCTGTGAAGTAAAATAAACTGGCCACAACATGTCGCCGCTACCGTCAACTGCTAAACGGAAAAACAACAACAGGCCAGATGAAAGGAGAGCGGCTTCTCTGCAGGCTCAAGGTGGGCGTTTCTAAAGAGCAAACACTGATTGGATCGTTCCAGCAGCAGAAACTTACAGAAATCACTCATCTGCTGTGACTGCAGTAAAAAGTTACGGTTATGGTTACACTTTCTTTGTCTCATGGCAAGTTTAAGAGACTTTATTTTTGCACTTTTGTATATTTTTATCACGTTTTTGTTCCTTTTTAACTACTTATGTCAGTCTTATATTATTTCAATAACCAAAACTGACTTTTTTTTAAATGTAATGGTAAAGTATCAACATTTAGGCCTCCTTATAAGCCTTTAGATATTAAAACAGTACAACAAAATATTAGGGGAAAACTAACAAAATAAAATGTAGAAAGTATTACGAGAATAAAGTCCTGGTTTTATTAGATATTAAGACATTTTGCTCATATTATTACAACTGTATATTAGGAATTTGTTCTTGTAATCCTATGACCTTATTCTTTTAATTTTTTATTTTTTTCTTGGTATGGACATAATACTTTGTCACGGAACAGTGTTATTTACGTTGATGCTTTTATTTTGAAATGTAACCGGACGTTCTCTGTTTTAGAGGCGGGAAGAGAAGTAATGGAGATGCCGCTAATGTCGGACAAGCTAACACAATCTGCCGGCCGTTATTATATCTAAGTTTAACTTACCCACAAGTCTTCCTACACCACTGGTTACAACAGCAAGAGCAAACAGATAAATCAAAGTTTGATGCCATATAAGTGAGCTAGCAATATTTAAAAAGAGAAAGAACCGAATGACAGCCGTTATTTCGTTCGGATGAAAAGGCTGCCGCTCTGTTTATGTGCCGCTGTCACTTTGATAAATAATCCTCCTGATTCATGGGCTGGACGGCTCTACCTCTCTAGCATGCTAGCACAGCTGTAGGATGTGGGAGTGACACGGAGTTTGTTACCTCCAGGTGAGGCTAACGCAGCTTTAAAGAAACACTGAATACAAAACTATCAATCAAAAGCCTGTTAATGTTGGAGCTGAAAAGGGTAGAAAGAACATCTTGAGTTATGCAACAGCGGCCACCCATGATGCAGCTTTTTAATGCTTTCTGGCAAAAGAAATCACAAATTAATCCAAAAATTACGGATACTTCCGTCTGATCTAACATCATATTTCATAATTGGATACAAAGTGCTGCCAAAAAGTGTAAAAACCTCTAACTCTTTCATTTAATGCATTTTATTGGGATTTTATGTGATGGAACAACACAAGTAGAGAATACAGATGCCTTTTTGGCTAACTTTGGAATATTTTGTACTATGTATTGTACATTTTGAAATAAATAAACAATAACACCAACAAGCATGTAGATGATGAAAAGGAGAGGACTTAGGATGGAACATTGGGGAACTCTGCAGATAATTATATTCAGCCTAGATGTGCAGTTACCTACAGACACAGAAAAGGGTATTTTTTAAAGGTCTTTTTTTTTTTTTTTTACAGTAAAACTACAAAACCACCATCATTTCAGTGCAAAAACATAATCCTACCAAGTATTTTTAGTTTCTACTTTATTCATCTTACTACACTTGATATAAGACAAAACTTACTTACAAATAACTTTTCAGCAAGATACAGTAACTGTTTTAAGTCAATAATTTCTTAGTACTTGTTCCACTCGCACATTATTTGACTTACAACAAAATGTCTAGTTGTAAGTGAAATAATCTGCTAGTGAAACCAGTACTCTTTTCATAAATATAAAAAAATTATTGACTTATATTAGGTTAATATTTCGTACTGAAAATTACTTGTAAGTTAGTTTTGCCTTATTTCAAGTGTACTAAGATATTT